ATTAATTTAAAAAACACGCATATATATTCATTAAAACAAAACAAAAATTCATTTAATAAGTAAATACATTTTTCTAAAACTTTTTGGGTACTATAACGAACACAACCAACACTTTTTTGACATTTTTTAAAATGGGAAATTACTTTTATTTCTGTTTTTCGTAATCAAACTTTAGGAGTTCGAGCTCGAGTTGCTTTTTTTTTATTTCGTTTTTTTCCTGTATCGCTCGCAAAACACCTGTATTAATACGGACAAATTCATCCTTGAGCTCAGTTTCTGCATTCGCGACAGATTCGTTGCTTTTTTCTATTGCTCTATACACTCGTCTGAGGCTGCTGGCATTTTCTTTTTCAATCTTAATTAGCTCGTCCAATCTTTCATTTATTTCGAGCTTTCTCTCGTTGTCTTCATCGAGAAATTTTTTCAAACGCTCCCCAGTACTATCTGTCCTTTGTCTTTTAGGAGTGCTGCTGACTGGAGACATTGACCGCTTCGATGATGTTCATGGCATTTCATCCTCACTTGCACAAACTAAATCTTCGCTGAGGCCAACTGCATTGCCAGCCACACCAACCACAGACTGTGCAATGCCACATATGCGCACTATTGTCTCTTCCGTTTGCGTTAGTTAGTGCTTAGAAAAGGGTCCTCCACCAGTTGCTCGAGACTCGCTTTTGTTTTGTACGAGCTTTCTTTTTATGTCACTTTTCCATTCCGTCCACGTCTATACATATGTATATAAAAAACAGTGTAATTTAAAGACACGATTTAATTTATAGCACCAATTATGCTTTACCTTTTTCCATCCATTGGTATCCTTTTGTGGTGGACCTGCACTGTTCAGCGACTCAACTAACTGTTGCCAAAGGGAATCAACAGTTGGTTTATCCCGCTTAGTAGAGCCTCTCGCAATATCTGGATATTTCTCCATAAATTCCACGATAATGCTGTTTTGAGTTGCATTTTTATGCTTTCCCCTAGTTTTGAATACATTAATAATTATTTTTTTAAAATAAACCTTCTTTTACTCACATTTTTATAAAATGTCCAACTGGAAGTAAGAAAAACTAATAAGCAAATGAAACCCAAGAGTCGTTAGCTGCTTGGTTCGTTTCCGATAGCAAAATCGATATCATTGGTTTCTGTGACACTAACTCCGATTCGAACATAAATCTGATGACATTGGATTTCATGACACCAAAGTAATTTTTTTGTCGTTCTCAAATCCAATTCCGACAACAATTGGATTCCATGACAGCCCTGATAATTCTGTCCTGAAGATTATTTGGTTACGAACTCGAAAGGCTTCAGTATTTCTATTTAATTTTTTGCTATCATTTCAGGACTGTCTGTAGCATCAAGTAGAAGTTAAGACGAAATTTTGGACATATCCAAAAATCTTTCCAGCATGTAAAAGAGTGAATTCCAGCGCGTTCTAACGCCTAGGATGAATTTCTTGGTGGATCCTTCCGGAACTCTTGCTCGATCCAATTTGCAGGTTCATTCCCTAGGAAAGAAATAGAACGCGCACCCTTTTTCGTAGAATTGTCGAAATTGGCGTCACCCGGATGTTGGCGCCTTCTTGCGGTTTTCATTCGCAACTAAACTGCCAAAATTTTTTAACTATCCACAAAGAAATTAGATTAAAAAATAAAAGTCCGGGAATAAAATTGTCAATGAATTGGGGTCTCGATACAAGTACCTTTTCCGATACCTACTCAGTACTCGGTTCAAAAGTATCGAGTACAAAAGTAATTGGTATCGGACGAAAAGTATCGACTATGTACTTGTATTTACTAGTATCGTTTCATCCCTAATTACCCCACCCAATATTTTTTTTTCGCCTTTATGGGTATTTGTACGTTTTTTCAATTTATAATATGGAGTTTTTGTTTCACAAAAGAAAATAAAAATGAATTGTTGTTTAAAGTTAATCACATAAATTTGATTGTATTATCACAAGTATTTGGTGCACTATTTACAAAAAAAAGATTGGTGGTCCATATTTGCGTACTTTACTCTACATATATGTTTTTAACCTTTCCGAAAACTCCCGCTATTTTATTTATTTTATTTATTTGTTTTTGTTATTTTTATGGCCTTATAAAAATTATATTCAACAATTTTTATGAGCTTGAGGCCGTTTTTAGTGAAAACTTATTGTGGAAAAGCAGCAATAATTTTAAAAAATTGTAGAAGTGATAGCTATTTCGGAAATCACCTCATTTCCTCATCAGACTTCTNAGCTCATAAAAATTGTTGAATATAATTGTTATAAGGCCATAAAAATAACAAAAACAAATAACTTAAGGACGAGCATACCTAAAACACATTAAAACACATATTAACACTCATCAGACTTCTTTCAGTAGGATTCAAGCTCATAAAAATTCTTGAATATAATTGTTATAAGGCCATAAAAATAACAAAAACAAATAACTTAAGGACGAGCATACCTAAAAAAAATTAAAACACATATTAACACTCATCAGACTTCTTTCAGTAGGATTCAAGCTCATAAAAATTCTTGAATATAATTGTTATAAGGCCATAAAAATAACAAAAACCAATAACTTAAGGACGAGCACACCTAAAAGTTAAACATTCTAATAATAGAAATATTAACAAAAACCAACAAAACCAACAACCACATGATCAAGTGATTTGCAGCGGAATAGCTGCGCTTGATTGTAGGTGGCTTAGCAAAGTGAAGTAGTGGAAAATAAGCAACAAGAATTAACAAGACAAACTTAGCACAGTGCGTAGGCAACTGGCTGAGTCAGTGGTGATCGTCGGTTCGAATCCTACTGAAAGAAGTCTGATGAGGAAATGTGGTGATTTCCGAAATAGCTATCACTTCTACCATTTTTTCAAATTATTGTTGCTTTTCCACAATAAGTTTTCACTTAAAACGGCCTCAAGCTCATAAAAATTGTTGAATATAATTGTTATAAGGCCATAAAAATAACAAAAACAAATAACTTAAGGACGAGCACACCTAAAAGTTAAACATTCTAATAATAGAAATATTAACAAAAACCAACAAAACCAACAACCACATGATCAAGTGAATTGCAGCGGAATAGCAGCGCTTGATTGTAGTTGGCTTAGCAAAGTGGAGTATTGGAAAATAAGCAACAAGAATTAACAAGACAAACTTAGCACAGTGCGTAGGCAACTGGCTGAGTCAGTGGTGATCGTCGGTTCGAATCCTACTGAAAGAAGTCTGATGAGGAAATGTGGTGATTTCCGAAATAGCTATCACTTCTACCATTTTTTCAAATTATTGTTGCTTTTCCACAATAAGTTTTCACGGCCTCAAGCGCCTCGAGCTCATTATAAAATTGTTGAATATAATTGTTAAA